GTTGATATTCTCAGGCCCAGCTCCTGCCTTTTTGGCAGCCTGTATCTACAGGCTCAGCTCCAGCCTTAAAAAAAAATGTTGATACTTATGAGGAATATAAAATGGCAGCTATTGACTCGGTAAATAGACAAAGGCAGGAATATGCTAAAAATGAAGAAGGGAAGAAGATACTTGGCACTGCCTATCAGCCCATATACTCTGGCGACATGAGTTCCATGGGACTCTCACCACTATTAGCTACTGGTTTTTGAATGCTTCTCAAACGCCAGGTACATTACACGATTTACATATACTCTCATTTAATTCTCAATAACATAATGAGGGAGGTAATGTTTTCCCCATTTTATCCATTTTCTAAATAAGGATGTGAGACATAGAGGAGTGGCATGTCTAAGCTCACATAGTCAGAAAATGTAGAGGCAGGGTCTAAGCCAGGACCCAAGCTTGCTTTATGTTGCTTACCTCTGATCAAGTTTGATCCAAAATTCGAAGTACGAAATCTAGTTGAAAGGAAACAAGGGTTGCTTCAGAATATTTTCTCCATCTACAATAGTGACTCTTATTATGTCTTGGGTCTCAGACTCATAAAACAAATTTATAAAAGTGGTAGACCCTTTCCTTAGAGAAAGACATACATGTTCACTATTGTTTGCACGTGTACTTTTTAGGGATTTCAAAACTCTGCAAAACTAAGGCTAAGAAACTGTGACCTGAAAGTTGCCACTAAAGAGATACCTAGATCACAGATAGAACCTGACTGACAGGGATGGAGTGAACAGAAATGTCTCCTTCACCAAGCCAACACAGTTGTGCAAATCCTCTAGTGTAAGCAATTCTTTACAAGCATAGAATTGAACCTTAACAGGACTAGTCATGATAGACAAAGACCCAAAATTATAAAGGTACTCACAAAGAACACAGGTTACAACCCCATTCTTGAGGGACTTTTGAGTGAGCCAGATGCAGTGTGCAAGGGATTAGCAAGAATAAATGTCAACTTTACAGTTGGGCTGTGCCCCTTGGTCATGACCTTGAGACTCAAGAATTGGCTCAGACAGTTCTGAGCCGAGTAGCCATTTCACACACAGCCCACAGCCCAGCAGGTCACCGCTCTCTCACTCTGCCATCATGACATTGCCATCTGCAGCCACTGAGCTGAGATTTCTCAAGACCAAATTTATCACACCCGAGATTCCATTCTTACATAAGAATCACCTGTCGCTGATGCATAAACTTTAGCACCTAGCAGAGCCAAGGGTAAAGAGGATTTAAAAGGAAGGGGCCTGAATAAATTCAAGCAGATTTCCTCTCTGTGGGACTGAGTTTTGAAAAACCTTTGTGCCCTCATCTGCCTCTTAAAGGAGACTGTCATTTTTCTACTTTCTGTCTGCATCACTATTGTCGGGGGAATGATGCTCTCAGAGCCACAGGCAATCTGTCTTCTTGGAGGTTCTGTTCAAGCTCTGACCTTGGTTTGTTGCAGTTGATGTCTCTTCTCACAAGTTTGAGCTTGCTCTCCTCACCAGCTAAATTAACCATAAAGTACCTTGACTCACGTGACTGAAGCCTCAGAGACATCGGTAGAAGCCCGGAGACCCGCATCACTATGTCAAAGAAAGCACTTTGGATCAACGAGAAGATTCCCTTATCTTGAAACCTTGGAATGAAGGTACAGGTGTGCTGGCTGAGGGCAAAGAAAATGCCATTTGAAAGCACTGGAAGGAAGGAGAGTTGTCTAAAAAGTGGTGGGATAGGGACCACACTAGATAGTGGGAAGGATCTGGGAAGAAGGGTATTTCCTAAACTAAAAAAGGGCCAAGGGCAAGAAAGTCACCTACAGCTCTATTTAGTGAAATGTGGAAAAATTAAATTAGGGTTAACAAATATCTGAGAAGGTCTGCATCTGTGACCTTGGGCAAAGAGTTTCCTTCTCTGGGTTTCCATTTGTAAAACGTAGGAACAGAATGGAGGCTTCTTCCAGTACTAGCATGCCAGGATGGAAGGTAGAAGAAAAGGCCTTTGAAGCCAACATAATTGCTCCTCTGTCCAGAGAAATATAAACAACAATAACTCCAACAGCCTTCTGCTCTGCTTTTGAATGAGTTCTTTGCTTCTGCCTGAGAGGTAAAGCAGTTCATTCCTTGGGGAAAAGTTGAATGTGGAACGCTAGGCCATGCCCTTCTCACTTTGGTTTCATTATGTTATTCTGAATGATTATTAATACAAAGAACAGTCAATGTAAGTTAACAAGGCTTTACTGAGTATCATGTATCCAGGGCTGCAGTTGGTCCTCCAGGGTAGATGAAGAAAGAGTATGTGACATGTTCTGGGTCTTCAATTCCCTTAATATCACTTAACCTAGGTTTGTATGCCCTATTTCAAAAGCCAAGCACAAAATGAGCAAAAATGAGGCTAATTGTTTAAGTAAATCTTACTTCTCTGTATTAACATAAGCAATTGAGTTTAATGAAATTTGCTAATTTTTACGCTCTTACTAATACATACTGCACATGTGTTATGTATCTTTGCTGTGTACGTCTATGAGAAGCCTCACTTTGGCATTTATAGGGTGTGTATTGGCTTGATTCTAGTCAGATGCCTCTGGGTGAAACACAAATAAAAGTCAATCAAAAAACTTTTGACTTTTCAGGTAAACACATGGTTACACATTTTGAAGTTCCACTCAAGTGCAATCTCTATATGACCTGAAAGCAAACTAAATGAATCATTTTGTGAAAACTACTCTAATTCCTGAGTATGCACATTGGTTAATATTTTTGCATATCTCTGGAACACCAATCCTGCTTCACATTAATTACCGGCAATGTACTATTATTCTTTGATGGGTACTTATTTTTTTGATACCAAGTAAATGGTCAATTATGTCACCTTTGTCAGACTCTTTTGTTTTCCTTTGAAGTTTTCTAAAATTAATCAATCAATTTGTTGTAAATGGCAATCACATCCAAAATATGTCTTGGATACAAAACAGAACTTTTCAAGAAGTAAAGATTATCCAAATGAGGTCTTTCAAATGCAAATTACCTTCATGATCACCTGAAAGTACTTGTCTTAAATGTTCTGTATAAACATACTCTTGTTTACTTTCAATTACACGTATGTAAACACATAAGGTTGAGATAAAACATGGTTCCAGTTACATATTTCTAAGCACCAGGAATGATGCACCAAGAATTAAAATGCATTATTCTTACTTAATAACTAATGCACTATAATATACTGTATTGCTATGTTTTTCTTCCAGTACCCCAAAGCACTATTTTTGGAACTTAGGTTTAGAATCGAGTTGGATTATTAGGCTCTTCAGTACATGAAATGTCAAAGCACTTTTATTCTGTTGCCCATATGGTGAACGTAGTAAGAGAAGAGAGATAGGTATTTAGTGTGACCAACCATTCTAGTTTTCCCCAGGACTGAGGAGGCTTTTGAGACATAGCACTTGCCCTGGGAATGGCCAAGGCAAATAAGAGACGAGTTGACCACCCTGCAGGTATTATAATTCCCACTTATAATTGGAGAAACAAAGGTACAGAGAAGCAAAATGCCTTGCCCAGTTTACTCAGGAAATGACTAGCAGATGCAGGACTGAGTCCAATGTGTTCTAACAACAGCCAGTTTACAACCACACAGATCAGTACTACTTCCTCTGCACCTTGCTGTCTTCTTGAACTTTAAGAAAACCCATGTCGTCTTTTACTTTTTTGTGTGCTACCATTTCAAAAGTGCTACGTTGAATACCATGGGCAGTACTGAATGGGGTCCTTTATCTATGTTGCAAATTACTCAGGAGGAACAACATGGCCACTTTGCGTTTTAGAGAGAAGAATGAGACATTATAATTATCACAGCCCTCTAAAGCAGAGGAAGCATTAGTACAAGTTCTGTCTACCCACCAATTATCTGTTAAGACCACTAAGATCTCTCTAGTCTTGACTGGGCCAGATGTATAATTTCATGAAACAAATCAACCTAAATGAACCTCAGGAAAAATGACCAGGTAACCACCTTTTGAACCACTATATGGTAACAGCTAACATTTACTGAAGGCTTACTATGTGTTGGATGCTATGCTTAGAGCTTTACATGGATTCATTCAATTAAGCCTCACAACAATAATTCCATGAAGTTGCAATTATTGCTCCCATTTCACATGTAAGCAAAATGTAGCTAAGAGAGGTTAAGTAATTCACCAAAGTCACACAGCTGGTACGAGTTGGAACCTGGATTAAACTCCAAGCAGTTCAACTCCAAAACAAGTGATTTCAGCCACCCAGTACCTCACTTTTAATAAAAACAGCCAAACAATGTTAAATCTGTCCAAACAGTGTTCTGACTTCCAATCACTGAGGCAGTTTACCAGGGTAGATCTAAAACTAGCTAGACTACAAATTGCTGTGAAGCAAAGCAGATATGTCTGTCTACCTGTTTAGGTCAAAAGATATGAGGCTTTCTGGTCATAGATATTAAAGGATCTGAAGGGAGAGATTTTGATCTGTTGATTAATTTATGAGCCTAACTGTGCCGGGCCAAACTACTGTTATGTCTTCAGTACCCCATTTCCCTCTCTGAAAAATGTAAATAATACATCCTGAGCCTCTAAGAGAAATGATGGGGTAAAACAACAGGAAAGCACTAAGCAAACTGTAAAGTGCTTTAAAACAATTATTTCATATGTTAAGCAGCTTACAAACTAGCAATTTCTTCAAATGCCCTTGCAAAGAAAATGAGACACAGCTGCTGGGATGCTCTGCAAAGAGACGGAAATCCAGCTCTTTAAAATGTCCAAGGGGAAAACACACACTGTAAAATTACTCCAAAGATGAATTTTACAAGAAGGATGGAAGTGTCATCAAGTTTTTCCATGGTTAATTCTAAAAGAATGCCAGCATCGAAAAGATCAAAAAAGGCAGTTCTTCAACAGAAATCTGGGAAAATATTCTTTAACGACATTGCATAATAGAAATAGGAATTAAACTCACCTGAGGAGCAGAAGTGAGGAAGCCAAGTTTATGAGTTCTTCTCAGTTTTGTCCAAAGTCAAGTCTGTTGGGAATAAAAAATATTAAGAGAACTTAAAAAAGGAAAAGAAAAAAAAAAAGGAAAGTCAAGAAGGATGAGTTGTCATGAAATGCTATGAAGCTTTGAGAGTGACTCAGCATTAGCCAAGGGGCAGTAACAATTAAATGAATTTGTTGAAAGAACCCTAATAAAACTCAGTATTCCCTGTAATCTCCTAACAAGATTGCACCACTAAAGAAAATGTTAAACCATGCATTTGGGGGGCTGAGGTTTGATGAAGTTGGTTGGGGGTTGGGGAGCTCAGGGCTGAGTCACAGGCTTCTTAGAGGAAGAGTGGTTGGGTCTCTGCCCTCTTGCCTGTTTCTCTCCCTCTCTCCAAGGATTTCAGTTCCTCTACAATTAGCCAAAAGCAGCAAGTGAGCTGGCCACTGAAGGATGAGAAATTGTGATTCACTTGTAGCATAAATGATCAAATATAAAGACTGTATAAATAAGTCCTGAGATGGAGAGGGGGAAAGAACTTCTGCCACATCTTTTGCACCCACGAGAATCATCAGTGCAGATGCCTGTTTGTAGACGGAAGAGCACCTAGGCTATCCAAAATGGATGCTGAGCAGATTTTTTTTTTAATCCTCTGGGGAAATAGAAGATCACAATTCCTCTTAGTAATTTATTAGTTACTTTTTCTAGCCATTAAGGCCCATGCTACAACTACCCTAAATTTCCCTGTTCTAAACTGGCCTTGTTGGCTGTGGATGAACAAATTGTTTTTTCACTATTTAAAAATATATATATTTTCACAGAGTTATTCTTATACTAAACTCAAAATGGAAACCCAGGCAGTTCTCCTCTCCCTTCCAGGATGAGAATTCTTCACCTCTCAATCCAAGTTACAGAAAGAAAGAAACATTTTGATAATCTGGCATCATTTTTTCCTATTTTCATGGGGTCGGCTATAGACTCAGTGAAGCATTTACATGTCACATCTTTAAAAAAAAAAACTGAAAGTGTTAAAAACTGGAGCTTTGACATTTCCATAATAAGCTTTCAAAATGCTTATATTGATTTAGTTTTTGTTCTAGAATAGACTCAGGTACAAAATATATTTGAAAGTTGTTCTGCCAGCCAAACTGTTCTCCTTCATTTACAAATGAAGTTGCTCAGTGTTCAACAACTGATTGCCATGAATGAATGGGGTATGATGTCCTTCAAAGTCTCCAAAGAGCTGCTACAACTTAGTTTTCCCCTTGGGAGAAAAAAAAGTTATTTTTCTAATTGATTTTTTCTGTTCTGAATAGAAAAAATAAATTAGATCCTTCCTTCCCTTCCTTCCTTCCTTCCTTCCTTCCTTCTCTCCTTCCTTTCTTCCTTCTTCCTGTCTTCTTTCTTTCCTTTCTTTTTCTTTCTCTTTTCATTCTCTCTCTTTCTCCTTCTTTCTTTTTTCTTTCTTTCTTTCCCTCTTTTCTTTCTTTTTTTTCTTTCTCTTTTCCTATTTCTGCATTCCTACAGGAAGAGAGAAGGAATATTGTGCTTTTCATCAACCAGAGCAAGAGTTATATGAGTTTGAAACACAGCTAGTCTTTAAGGAAACTATACTGTTGTCTTCTGCAATGGGAAGAGAGCTTTTTCTCTCATGGGACAAAAAGTTAGATTTTCCTTCTGTCTTCAACCTTTATCAGTACAAAAGAGTAAACCATCTCTACACACATGTTCAGAAGCAAATCCCTTGACTAATTGCAGAGTAAGCAAACTCCTTGATTCAGAGCAAACCAGCAATGTGCATTTGAATTTAGGTTGGATTTAGATGAATAAGCAAATAACAGTATGGTGAAAAGAAGGCTGGGGACTTAAAAACTAAATCCCATGGTGACCTTGGTGAGAATTTTGCTCTTTTATGGACAGCTTAGTAGATGAATTCAGTCTTTTAATTTACTTACCAAATTGCGGAGAGCTCTCCCATTGTAGCAGTTAATCATTTCCCCCCAACTCAATTTCCTCATTCATACAATTGGATTAATACAACTTACTGTGCAGGGCTATAAGGACAAAATACGGTGCGTATCTAACATGCTTACTACAGTACCTGGCACGTAAAAGCTGGATGAATTGTTTCTTTCAATTCATTCTTTAAATTTGTTCTCGATGAAATGATGCTGGCTCTAGTAACCTTCTGTCACCCCCCGCCCACAAAACACACACACGAACCACACACACACACAGCAGCTAACTAAGAAAAGTCCCCTAATTTTGTCAATTTTATGGAATCTTTCTCAAGGAACCCCATCACCACTTTGCACCCACTACAATAACATGTTAGTCATTTACCATGGGCCATGCACTGCACTAAGTTACCTTACATGGGCAATATCATTTCATTTCCCCTACAACTCTATGAGTTCAATACTATGGTTATTCCCCTTTTGCTTCAAACTCACTTGATCACTAATATGAAAGAATCTTAACAAGCATTTTTAAAACATCTATCTTACATATTTTATTATGACAATCGACTGAATATCTGTGGCCCTCCAGTATTTATATGTTGAAATCCTAACCCTCAATGTGATGGTATTATGAGGCGGGGCTTTTGGGAAAAAATTTAGGTCATGGGGATGGAGCCTTCATGAACAGTATTAGTGCCCTTATAAAAGGGACCCCAGAGAGCTCTCTTTCCACCATGTGAGGGTACAACAAAACTGGCAGTGTAACTCAGGAGAGGAACCTACACGACCATGCAGGTACTCTGATATTGAACCTACAGATTCCACAACTGTCAGAAATAAGTGTATGTTGTTTATAAGCCACCCTGTTTATAGCAGCCCAAACTAAGATCATTACAATTGCAAAACGTTTATGCGATACCTTGTTATGTTTTGAAAATTTTGTTCAAGCAAAGCACTAAAATACAGTTTCTAACCTCCGAAAAGTGACTTTTTATATACCAGAGAAGAAACAGAATTTAGATTAAAGGGTCCACCATGTCTTTTTAAAAAATCATACAGGTGCTTCCTATCTCTGATTTAAGTTTAAGTACTTATTATAAATAAGAATAGTGGAAGCTCTTGTTTATATCTATTTAAGAATTGCAGCCAATATCTACAACGTACCAAGCTGACAACACTGGCAAGATGACAGGGGCCAGTCATCTTGTTAAAATGAAGAGCAAGAGATGGTTAAAGATTTTTTCATGGACATTAACCTATCCACATATAACATCTTAAAAAGTTACAATTTGGCACATTTAATTGGCAAATAGAAAAATTTATATATAAATATCCCTATTTTTAAATAAATCTGAAGATTAATGAAGCAAAGAAGAATGCCTATGCTTAATACAGAGATATTTACCAGGAAAAGAAGTGTCCCTAGTTGAAAAGACATTAGATCCCTATTCTAAAATCTCAATTGGTTCATGCAGAAAAACTCCTAAAATAGAACATTTATGGCATACTTTCTGTATTATGTTTGGCTGTGTTTTATTTTTTGAATAAATATTTATAGAGCTGTATACCTGAGCTTCATTTGAACAATTTTTGAGATTTTATGAGATATTGTCTCCTACTTCATGGAGAAACTAAGTGATGAAAAGGAATTTTACAGAGGGTCTCACTGCTATATTTACCCCTCTCAAGCAGCATTACTACCCTAAACATGCCTGTCACTATGGATGACAATATTCTATCTTCTCTTTGAAGCCAAATCTTCCACTTGGACATTAGATACTATGACTATTTGCTGACCCAACAAAATTGCTTAAGGAATTCTTGCTATCTTTCCTAAAACATTAATCTCTCTCTCTCTCTACTGGATCATTTCCATCAGCACATAACCATATTATAATTTCTTCTAACCAAAAACAGCAGCAATAACAAACCCCTCAGGTTCGCCTCACTTTCCCCATGTGTCTTCATCCAATTTCTTTGCTTCCTTTCGCAGCAACCTCTAGAGTTGGATTTCCTCAGTGTTTCCTATTCCTCTCCTGCCATTCCCTATTAAGCTACTTAAACCAGGCTTTGACTGTCACCATTCCACCAAATTATGTTCTCGTTCAAGTCACCAGTGATGCTCACTTGGGAAATTCAATGAGCGACTTTCAGTATTTATCATACCGGATCTGTCAGCAGCATTTGGCACTACTTCTCACTCCCCTCTACTTGATGTACTTCATTCTCTTGCTTTTTGGAACACTACATCCACCTAGTTTTTCTTCTACCTTGATAGGCACACCTCAGTCTCTCCCTGATGGTTTCTTCTTTTTTTCTTGAGTTTGTAATTCTGAAGACCCCCAGAGCTGAGTCCTCCTCTTCTCCATTTATACCCAATCACTTGATAACATCACTCAGCCTCACAGTTTTTAATCCCAAAATGTTGGTGGCTCCAACGTCTCCCTCTTTAGCCAGGGAAAAGCTGGCATTCTGATTAGCTCCAAAGATGCATGATCAACAACCAACTTGACATCTATAATTAGGTGCCTAATAGTTATTTAAATATCAGTATGTCCAAAACCAAAATCCCAATGTTCCTCACAAACCTGTTCTTCCTACAGCCATCTCAATCAATAGCACCTCAATCCATAGCAATTTTATGTTTTTAGTTGCTCAAGCCAAAACTTTGCTTTCTTTTCAACTCATACTCCATGTTCAATCTATCATAAAATCTTCTTGGATCTTGCTTTCGAAATATAGCCCTATGCAGACTACTTCTCATAACCTCTAGTGACCAACCCATGGCATAAGCCACATCATCTTTTTGGGGGGGTTACTGTCACAGCCTCCTAATTAGTCTGTTTGCTTCTATCCTAGCCCTGCTCATCTAGCCTATATATAATATACTGAAAGACCCTTGTTAAACAGTCAACTCTTCCTTAGCACCTTGAAGTGACACCCATTTCACTCAGATTAATGCCAAAGTTCTCTATCAGTAATCTACAAAACCTTATACAGCCTCACCCTTGCCTTTCTGTTATCTCTCTGACCTATTATACATTCCTTCTGTCTCTTTGCATCAGCCACACTGGCCTCTTTGCTGTTCATTAAATGTGCCAGGCAGTCTCCTGCCGTTGGGCCTTTGCTCAGGCTGTTCTCGCTGCCTGTGACGTTCTTTCCCAGATATATACTTATAGTCTCACCTGCCTCAGATCTTTGCTCGATTGACACCCTATTTAAAATTGCAACTGTGCACATAGTCCTCCTCTGCCAGCACACCCCCGTCTTGAACCTAATTACTCCGCTTTAATTTCCTCTGTTCCATAGCATTTACTATTAAGAATATAATATATTGACTGATGTACTGTTTACTGTCTACCTCCCTATGCTAGAATGTATATTCTGTAAGGGCAGGCATTGATGTCTGTCTTGGTCATGTCTTTTTTTTTTTTTAAGTCCCTAGAATAGTGCTTGGCATAGAAAGTCACTCAATGGGTGTTGAACTAAATTGAATAAAATGGGCTTCCAGAAAAAGAGCCAGAACTGATAATATTGTACCTATATGAAATAAGAACTTGCTTAAAAGAACTTGATAGAGAATTGCTGTCTAGTGTCTAATTAGATCACAAAGCAAGAAGGTAGAATGCCTGAATACATGGCCTGTTTGCTGGAAAAGAGATGACAACCTGGAATGCCACCTCAAAGAAAATGAAACATATCTTCTCTCTCTTTTTTTAAATATTCCGGCAATATATTTTAGGATGACTCCAGAAGGAGCTTGGAACAGACCACAATAATGTATCCTAAAGAGTCATGAAGGAGCTGAGCTGAAAACTTAACTTTAAAAAAAACCTCTGTCACTCTTTATCTAGGGTTCATTGTAGTTTTACACAGACACCATGACCCATAGATGTCTGCCTGTGGCTTGTGCTATCGATGCCTTATCTAAGTCCTATTTCATTAAATTAGTCTCAGAAAAGAGCAGCAGTAACCATGGAATGTTTCTTTTTACCAGCCTTGGCAATCTTAAGGAAAATCAAGTAGCACAGTGTTCTCAATGTGTAGACCTTGTCCTGTGGCATTAGCACCACCTAGAAACTGTGACAATTGCAAAATCTTGGGATCCACCCCACCCCAAATTAGAATTTACAAAATCAGAAATCTTAAGGGTAGTACCCAGCCATCTGTGATTTAATAAGTCCTCCAGATAATTTTGATGCTCACTCAGGTTTGAGAGCCATTGAGGAAAGAGAATTGTTCATTTACAAGTTTACAATGATTTTCTTAGCAAGGCAGTCTTAGAATACAGACTTCCCCCACTGATAAATGCAATAAATTTGCTCAGTTATCCAGCACCCAACAATGACTCAATGGACTTCTCTTTTTGCACTAACTTTTGTGAAATAGTCTTTCTGGGCATTCTGCCTCAGATTAATGAGAAAGTGGTATACTGCTCACATACTCCAGAAGCCTGACTTAACTAATTTCATAATGCTCTAAGCTGCTTGGCTCCAGGTTCTTCCTGTTAAGATTTATGAATCCAGATTATAACAGCATTTCCCAACATATCTTCAAGTTGATGATTTCGTTTCAATGGTAAAGTTGACCATAATGGAAGCTGAAGTAAAGGGAAAAGAGAACAGATATTGAGGGTGTGGGAATTTGTCAAAAATGACTTACTAACTAAAAATATTAATCCAAAAGTAGGTCACCAAGTGCCCCTTTGCTTTGATTATTCATATAAAACCCATTAGTCTGTAAATTATTCACTTAAAAACTAGAACTCCATCTGGTCTGTGAAGTCTAAAACAAATATTCCTTAAGGCCAAATTTCCTAGTACTCTCGCATTCCCATTAAAGGTAGACAGAGATCCCATTTAAACGATGACATAACAGAAACTCAGAGACTTAGCTAAGGTCACATCATGATGGACAAAGTCACAACTAAGGGACAGATTTCTTGAATTTTCTTATAGATGTCAATTCAGTGTAATCAATATGTATTAAGTACCTGCTCTGTGCCAGACTCTGGATTAGGGGATGGGGGATGGGGATATATACTTTTCTTTTCTTTTCTTTTTTTTTAGACAGAGTCTCACTCTGTCTCCCAGGCTGGAGTGCACTGGCGCAATCTTGGCTCACTGCAACCCCAGCCTCTGGGTTCAAGTGATTCTCCTGCCTCAGCCTCTGAAGTAGCTGGGATTGCAGGCATGTGCCACCATGCTCGGCTAACTTTTGCATTTTTTTTCTTTTTTTTTTTTAGTAGAGATGGGGTTTCACCATGTTGGTCAGGCTGGTCTTGAACTCCTGACCACAAGCAATCTACCCGCCTTGGCCTCCCAAAGTGCTGGGATTATAGGCATGAGCCACGGCACTTGGCGTAAATTTCTGACATAGTGTCTGCCTTTAAGGAGTTCAATGCAAGAAACCCTATCTCCCTGATTATTTAATATCTTCCTTTGGCTGACTTCAAACTCCAGTGACGTAATGAAGGGAATAGTAACAATTGTTTATTTTTACATTGAAGAAATCATGTGACAGAAAGAATTTCAGCAGGAGGAGAATCAAGGTACTCACACTGACCACGCACTATTTAATCAAGGTACTCACACTGACCACGCACTATTTAATCAAGGCACCAAGATGTTCTACATCTTGGTGATGAAGAGATTAAAAGTGCCCTATTGTGGGCCATTAATATTTCATACCAGAACACAATGTAGAGATACCATGTGAGAAAATGATGAGCTTGTAGAAAAGGCAGTGAGAATTGGAGCTCAAGGTCAGAGAAGAATAAAGGCTAAGTATGAACAAGTCACATTTTACAATTTAAAAATAACATGATGTTCAGATATATTCCCAAAACAAAGGCATAGTAGAACTGGTCTGCACTCCTGCTATTCCCTTCATTATATGAGTACAAGGTCAAGTTTGGGAGGTCTACATTTTTCAAAACACTAACACTGCTGCTTTAGCAAATGTTCAGGTTAAGGCAATAAACTTGTGTGGCTGAGAGCTGGAGGCCAAGTTCTGGTCTCCACTCTAACACTTACTGACTTTATAACAAAAGGTAAGATTATTTTGGGTGGTAGAAAAGGTGAAAAATAAGACAACTGCAGGCAGGATTTTATAAGGAAATTAAAGTTTTCCATAAAGCATTAAAAGCTACAGAAATATAAGGTCATATTTATTTAATCACCATTTTAAGCATCTGTAATATACTCTGAATGGCAACACGTCCCGGGGATACCCAAATGCATATGCTGTCATCACTTAGCATCCATGGAGAACTGGTTCCAGGATCCCCTGCAAATACCAAAATCTGCAGATGCTCAAGTCCTTTATATAAAATGGTGTAGTATTTGCATATAACCTAGGCACATCCTCCTTTATATTTTAAATCATCTCTAGATTACATATGATATCTAATAAAAGGTAAATGCTATGTGAACAGTTGTTATGTTATATTGTTTAGGGAATGACAAGAAAATAATCTGTGTTCAGTACAGACACAACCATCCTTTCTTTTTTCCAAATGTTTTTGATCCAGAGTTGGTTGAATCCCTAGATGTGAAACCCATGAATATGAAGGACCAATGGTAACAAAGTGTTGGCGTTTTTTATTCTATTACTAGAATAGCTGGGAAACATCCTTAGAACAGTAGCCCAAAGTGACTTGAAGTGTGGAAAAAAAAAAAAAAAAAAAAAAAAAAAGGATATAAGAGAGTTTTTTGAGCAAGTTTAGATTACTTGATGGGAAATTTTTTTTTTTTTTTGAGAGGGAGTTTCGCTGTTGTTGCCCAGATTGGAGTGCAATGGCACGATCTCGGCTCACCGCAACCTCCGCCTCCTGGGTTCAAGCCTCAGCCTCCTGAGTAGCTGGGACTATAGGCGCACGCCACCACGCCCAGCTAATTTTTGTATTTTTAGTAGAGAGGAGGTTTCACCTTGTTGACCAGGGTGGTCTCGATCTCTTGACCTCGTGATCCACCCGCCTCGGCCTCCCAAAGTGCTGGGATTATAGGCGTGAGCCACCGAGCCTGGCCTGAAAAAATTTTTTAAATGGATATAAGAGAGCTCTTTAAGCACGTTCAGATTGCTTGATTGGAAAAATAAAAAGAAATAGGGAAGGTAGCCTCTAATAACTTAAACAAATTTACAGTATCATTTTAAGAAGAGCTTAGGTCGGCCAGTATGAAAGCAAAGAAAAAGAAAAGTTAGCCTCAAGTCATAGCAAAAGTAGAAAAAAAAAGATTTGGAAAGAGATTAGGGAGACTTTGATTTTTCTGGAACACTTGAGCTAGTTATTGAGAGAAAAAAAAAAAAACCCTGTCGAGTTGCTCTGCTGAAAACCTTTAGAAAGTTATTAGCTAATTCTCTTTCTCAATGAGTTTAAAGATATGACTAAAAGTGGGTGCTAGAATAGTCATTTTCTTGAAGCTCCACTTCTAGAACTCTGAATGGCAATGAGGTGGATTAAAAGTCTGTTCTCTTCTCCCTCCCTTATTTGGCTGGCATGTCTAATTCCAAATTGGAAACTCATAGACATTGCTATGAAATGTATCATAGATCATGACTCACTATGAAAAGGACAAGTGTGCAAGTTGCCTTACCAGTAAAAAATCCTCTGCCTGTCCTCTTTCTTCCTGGGACAAGACTTCAGTTATTTCTCTCTGATTCATATCCTGAGGAAATCAACATGATACAAAATGGCTGTGTTCAATTAAAAAATGTCTCCAATCCACACTTTAAAAACGTAAGCTCTTTTCAATCCAGATATGTATTATCTTCCTGAGAAAGTCTTTTCCTTCAGAAGAATTTGGTGCCGTATAAGATAGGCAAAACAGGCAGAATGCCATTTCTGCACTGAAAGTTATGCATTTAGCCAACTTAATCTACAAAGTGCACCTGCCGTGGCAACGGATTTAAAAAGATGGGAATTAGTAGGAGAAAGAACTATGGTTTAATGGAGCCTGCCAGCATCAGGTATTCTGGGTATCTTCAATAGTAATATTTAACATTAATTGAATGGTTGCTAGATATCAGGTACCATTCTAAGTTTTCCTTGCATTATTTCATTTAATCCAAACAAGTTCATGAGATAAACCCTATTATGGATCCTAACTCACAGATGAGGAAAATGAGACTCATCAGAGGTTAACCAATTTGTTCAAGATGAGGTAGCAAGTAGCAGAGATGGGATTCAAACCAGAACTGTCTGACATCAGAACTTAAACTTCTAACCATTCCTCATCTAGTCTTTTAGGACAAAGTAGATACAAGATCCCCACTGTGTATATGAGAAAATGGAAACTCAGAGAAGATAAGAAATTTGATTAAGAGCACAAAGATTACTGATGGTTTTGGCCTGGGCTGTGAGCTCAGGTCAGGAGGACTCCAATGTTCACTTTCCAGTCATATCGATAGAAAACCTAGGAGATGAGCAGATATCCTCACGTTCACTCCATGTAAATTATTTTTAACTCAAATAAGAAAATGTCCATTCTGTATAAAACTCTGTGTAAGTCTTACTACACGTAAGACTTTGAAGATAGTACGAAAGAATTAAGTATATTGTACCTGCCTCTGATGAACTTTAAATTCTAGTTGACAGAGAAAACACACAGATGAATAAACCAAGATCAGTTGCAAAGTATTGCGACAACATAGGTAAAATAACATCCTATACATTAAATAGATTCAGAAGAAATGCTGGGAGAAGCAATGATTAGAGAAGAAATTTGATCAGGAAAAGCTTCCTAGAAGAGGTATAACATGATATGTATGATGAATAGAGTCGACCACATTGCCTGACTCCCTGACTATTTTGTGGGTAGAAAAAAAAAGATACTTTAGAGAACCTACGAAGAGAAAATATGATCTTAGTATCTATGAGAAAGGCCTGATGAAAGATATGGCTCACAATTACAGAGCCATGGAAAGGTTAAAGGACAGGGAAAGATTTCTCTGTGATTATAGTTAAAACTACTAGTGATTACACTTTCCCTTGGCTAATAGGTTTCCATAGGGTCCCATCAAACACAAACAATAATAGTTATAAATCAAATCTACACTCATTCTTTATGAAAAAAGGCAAACGGGCAGAGGAGAGGGAGAGGAAAAGTCAATTTCAACATTTTCAAGGGATTTTCCATGAGATCTAGCCAGTCTAATAGAAAAGAAAATTTAATTTCTGAATTAATTTTAGAAATAGAGATTTTCTAGAGGAATGAACTCAAATGCTGATTGCTTATTTCACCTCCCACCTCCCCAGCAAACCCCTAATTTAATAAAGAATGGACTATTAAAAAGAACCCTTGGATGATAAGCATGTATTCCCTATTTATAAGATGTATCTAAGCTATGTTCAATTTTTTTCAGTCTAAGGCATGGACTTCAGCCTTCAATAGGACTATTTACTGAGACTTCTCTAAGAACATTTCTTATTACCTAGAAGCAAGAAGTATTCAAGGTGTTAATGAATATTACTAAATAAAATAGTTCTAAATTCAAACAACTTTAGAAAAGCTGAATTCAAATGTTTTATTTTATTTTGCTTTATTGTATTATTTTTATTTTACAGCCTTAGATATGCTCATGTACATTTTCTAGGTCCAGTGGAGACATATTCAGGATTTCTTAGGCTTACTTGACCTTAGGATATCTCCTTATTTTGTGGAACTTATACTGATATCTCATAGACTTCACATTCCAAGAAAAGAGTCATGTTCTCTTTCCTTATATAAGTTTTAGAAAGGCAGCTCTTAGAACAGTTAGGTCCAGGTGGAAGGAGTAATGGGTGGAGAAAAAGGACTACCAACTGGCCATAACTTTGAGCCCGTAGCTGGGAGTGATGGGCCTCCACTTTTAGGTTCCTTGAATTCATCATTCAGCGAAAGTGAGTGACAAATCACTAAATTTTTTTATATGCTTTTCATGGCCACATTTACAGCCACATGGAAAAGCACTGGAGTCACTCTCCTCTGTAATGATCAGCTCAGTGTTGGTATCAGCGGGAACGACAGAGACCAAGCAGGGGTTTCTTCCCACAAGATAGCCAAGGGCTGTCTAGAATTGATGGACCACATGGAGTGAAGGATCATTTACACTGCATGCCTGAACACACTGTGTCAGCTACATTTTAGTGTTTCACCTATAGTCTTTGAAAAGGATTCAAAAGAGTTCAGGTTTCTTTAGTGGGTCATTCCGTATCTGTTGGAGGTTCCTTGCCCTTTCCTATATCTGACCAGAGTATAAGACTAATGAAATCAAGCTCCTCTAAACATCACTTGCATGAGTGTGATTTTAAAATGCTGCCATTACTTATGGCCATTTAAAGAGGAGCAAATGGAGACAGTGAAGAGAAAGTTGCGCCACTTAGAGTTCTATTTTGAGACTGAAATCCTCACGTAAAACTCTGTCTACAAGAATGCAGTTTGCTTAGTAGAGAGATTACCTCAAAATTAGCACACCCGAACTACTTAATTCCCAGCACATCACATGTACAGCTGAATCAGATGGCCTACCCTGAAGGGCTGTTTTTCTGCCCTATCCTAAGAGTCAAAAATATATAAAAAGACACAATCAACTCATTAACACATTTGCATTTTGCAATAGCATCAACCAAGATTTTTATCCAGTAAGTAAAACTAACATATTTCTTCATGTAAATATTGTATCATTGCATGTAAATATACATCTTTTTAAATAATCCAAATATCCTTATCAATGAAGAATTCTCTATTTTACAGATAAACAGTTGTAATGAACAACTTATATTTGTATAGTGCTTCACAGTTTACAAGTCTTATTCTATCCTCAATAAAACTCTGAGAGTTGAATCTTAGTGTCTTCATTTCATGATGTAGAAATTAAAGATTGAGAAAATATCACCAGGCTAATACCTGACCGAGCGGGATTGAAACCTGGACTTTTTGATCTCAGATTTAACCCTGTCATTTCTTATGAAGTGAGTCAGAACCCACACTTTCTGAGAGATTTCCAGAATAAGTCCATGGTGATCCATTCTATACTCATAGTTCATTGTACTGCAAAATTAGAACTTGATTGGAAACTGTCTTATTTTCCCTGTGTCTCTGTCTTATCTATCACACCCAAACATTAGCCTTTCATTATGTTGCTCTTTGGGGCATCCCCAGCTTTTTCAAGTGCTGCTCTTACGGCAGAGAACGTTCTCTCCATTCAGAACCCACACAACCACGCTCAACCCTATTCAACAGGACTCAGGCCAGGAGCAATACCTTTCCCTTCTTGGAAGCTCTTGCTGGTGTTCTCAACGACCATCCTTGCTTCAGGAAGGATACTCTCCTATGTGCTCCTACAGCCGCCAGTGCTGACATCTGTAATGGATTCCTCCCACTCTCTTGCACAGCCAGTGTCTATTTATCACACATTCCCCACATGACCTTCACCGCCTTGAGAACAGGACACCTATGTTACTTGTCTTTAAATCCTCAGAACCTACCACTTGTAGGCTGTTAATAACTGATAAATAAATAATTGAATAAATAAAGTAACACAAAACCAAGTAAGGCAGTTAGTTAGTGCCTTTGAGGAGTTCCCGGACTCATGGGAAGAAAAATCGGTAAAGAGACCAGGACAAGCAACACAGCAAGGTGTACTTCACCAGTACAGATGGGTTCAGGTGCCTTGGGGGCATACACAAGAAGGGATTGTGCTGCTCTGCCGGTCAGGCCTCAGAGAAAGCGAAGTTGAATGGAGTCTTGAAAGGAGAGTAGAAAGTCACCAGTGTTTGTGGAGCTGAGAGAAGCAGGGTCGGAGTAGGCGGCAGGAAGAGAAGGCAGGCTTTAGCAAGGCTCTATTTTATCTTGACTGCGTAACAACCTTTTCTCTGGGGGAGCTGACCTTCTCTGCATCCAACCTTGGGGTTCTACAGCAGCTGCCAGTCATGTTATCTTGTTTTCCTGGCTCAGAGGACTTCCCAGAGGTTTTGCACATTTTTCCAGCCTCATGGAGGAAGGTCTAAAAGAATAAAGCTGATCCAGAGAGAGAAGCTTAGGGCAAAATGGGAGGAAGTGCTTGGGTCCCTGATTCTAGCAATTTCTGGAGCCTGGTGTACCCTGGCCCTTTCCAAAGTTTAGTTTGTTACCTAAGTAAATCAAGCTGGGCTTCTGTCACTTGCAAACACTAAAGTACTGACCAACTAAAACCTTAAGAATAGCTGGGCGCAGTGGCTCACACCTGTAATCCCAGCACATTGGGAGGCCAAGGCAGGTGGATCACTTTAGGTCAGGAGTTCAAGAGCAGCCTGACCAACATGGTGAAACCCCGTCCCTACTAAAATTACAAAACTTAGCTGAGTGTGGCAACATGCATCTGTAGCCCCGGGTACTCAGGTGGCTGAGGCATGAGAATCACTTAAATCCTGATGGCAGAGGTTGCAGTGTGCCGAGATCATGCCACTACACTCCAGCCTGGGTGACAGAGCAAGACTCGGTCTCAAAAGTAAAAAAACAAAAAAAAACTTAAAAATTTCTTCTGTGGGCTGGGCATGATGGCACATGCCTGTAATCCCAGCACTTTAGAAGGAGGCAGGAGGATCACTTGAGCCCAGGAGTTCAAGAGCATCCTGAGCAATATAGTGAGACCCTGTCTCTGCAAAAAACAAAACAATTAGCTGTGTGTGATGGCACATGCCTGTAGTCCCAGCTACTCGGGAGGCTGAGGTGGGAGGATCTCTTGGGCCCAGGAGTTTGAGGCTACAGTGAGCGATGATCTCGCACCAGTATACTCCAGCCTGGGTGACAGAGTGAGATCCTGTCTCTAAGTAAGAATAATAACAATGAATCTCCACTACAGCATGCACATAGAGATAGGCAAAAAGTAGCTACTCAAGATTTTGTTTCTCAAATGCACCTTTTCCCATCATCTGTTCAATCCTTTCATTTAAAGATGGAGACACAGACTTAAGAATCTTTTTCAAAGCTACCCATCCTACTCATAACAGGTTTTATGGTAGAGCCTGAACTTTCTTCCCACAGCAGTGCTCTATCCACCAAACACTGTTTCCTTTGCTTTTTGCTAGCTAATTAGCCTCAAGGTAACAGGCAATCATGGGATTCATATTTGATGAAAACAATCAAAATGAATAAAGAATTCATGATATGACTACAAAGTAATGAAATGATTGTTTTTTATTCACTCAACAAATAGTCCCCACATGCATCTGCCTCTGTGGTAGGTGGGTATCTGGGGACAAACAAGACATGCTCCTTGACCTCAAGTAAGTTCACTAAGTGGAGCGAGGAACTGTACAACTTACCAGAGCTTCATATACCCTCAAATCAAAAATCTGGGACAATATATACTTATTTTTTCAATTGCTGCTAAGTCCCTTTGAACCAGTTATAAGGCAAACAAAAATGTCAGCTTACAATTTTATAACTGCACTTAAATTCTTTTTTTATTATTATTATTTTTTTAGATGGAGTCTTGCTCTGTCACCCAGGCTGAAGTACAGTGGTGTGATCTCAGCTTACTACTGCTGGTTCAAGCAATTCTCCTGCCTCAGCCTCCTGAGTAGCTGGGACTACAGGTGTGTGCCACCACGCCTGGCTAATTTTTGTATTTTTAGGAGAGACAGGGTTTCACCATGTTGGTCAGACTGGTCTAGAATTCCTGACCTTGTGATCCACCCACCTTGGCCTCCCAAAGTGCTGGGATTACAGGTGTGAGCCACCGCACCCCGCCTTAAATTCATTTTTATTCAAAAATGGTATCATCCAGCTGGACTAACTGAATATGGTACTTGGGTTTTTTTGAAAGCACAGAATAGCCTCAAAAGACAATGAATTTCTTCCATTAAGTATATTAAAAGAATATGCTATAGATTCTGAGGTCTGCTCTGAAACAGGAGGTTCAAAGATGTTTTGCCCAAGGCTAGACAGTATCACTGTCCTGAAAAGAACTATACTATTCTAGATGAGTATGTTTGTATGCATTTGTTAAAATAATGAATTCTAGAATTTATATTAAATTTCCAGACAGACCTAGAGGCAGATGCCAGGATCACCTTATGTCACCTTGTGTCTCTTCCAGCTCTCTGATTCTACAATTGCTTATACTGGATTTCTTCAACCCTGTGATGGGCTGAAGAGCTATTTCTGTCCTAGTTCTTTGCCTTATATAGGTCAAATCCCATTCCAATGAGTACCATAACAATAACCACCTCATGGCCTGGTTATTTTAGACAACCTGATAAAATGAGAACCAAGTATGACCTCCAAACAGAAGTTGGCTGTTACAGAATTTGACCTGAATATGACTTAAGCAAGGAGGTGGCCAGTGTCTTAGGTTTTTATTTTCATGGCACTGGGCCATTGCAAAACAGTCAGATTGAAGGTATCAAGGCTCTATCAGTGAATCCAAACAACTGTACTCAGAGTCCCTAATCAGTGCCTCCATGTGCCTGACAGATACTGCAAAATCAGAATGTCGGGGGACTGAATGCTCTGAATTTCCATGTAAAAATGGTCTCCAACTTATGTCTGTCCACTCTATCCAAAGGGTCTCAGGGCAATGTGCCCATCTTAATTTGGGGCTATTAATAAGCCTTCTTTTCATATTAGGCATCCCAAATCTGAAGTTTCTTTCTCCAATCTCTCTCAGGGAGCTAGATTCATGCTTCTTTTGGCATACATTGTTCTTGCTTGAAACGACATGCTAGCTGCTGCTCTCTGAAATGTACCTTTACAAGAGGGTAAAGACCCTGAGGGTACATATTTGTTTGGTTGACTCCCAGCTACGCTTAATATCTGGGTCCTCTCATTAAAATTTAAGTTCCACAAAAGCATGAAATCTCATGTCTAAAACAGTGCCTGGCACATAGTAAGTGCTTGCTCAATAATTATTTGTTGAAATAATGAATGAATAATGAGGAATAGTTATTCTTTAAGACCCAATTCCAATGCCACCTGTCCATTCCCAAAGCAGCTATGTGTCTCTCCTCTGACCCTTTAGCACTGTTCGCATTTCCCTATAATAATACTTACAGGATACTCTCTTTGTTGTGGATATCTGTTTTCCCAATTAAGCTGGTGAATATTTTATGGCAGGAACTATGTTTTTTAATGCCACATTCTTTGTATCTAAAACAATAGAAGTTCAATAAATGCTTACTGCTTGAATGGTTGAAAGAATGAATAAATATGTTTCTCTTGTCATGATGAATGCTAAAGATTTGTGACATAACCTTATACCTCAAACTTTGCCTGGACTCAAGAGCTTTCCACGGATCAAACTGAAGAAGCCATGAGTCACTGGGCTTGGAGGGGAGGGCTGTTTGTTTGTAGAGGATTTGCTTCCCGACCTCGATGAATCACATGTATAATCACCCAAACTGCATCCTGTCTGGGGAAGTAACCAAAACCCCTATTTCTGGCCCCAATGGCTTTTGGTTTTATGAGTAAATGCCACTGGCATGTCATTAAATAAATGCCCTCGGAAAGTCCTCAGCCAGTCAGGGTCGTGACAGAGAGGCAGTCTTGCAATTAGAGTGCAAGGTGGAGGGGTACCTTTTTTACCTCTTTCTGGTGACCTGCCTCCAACTTCTTATCCAATATCTGTCACACTCTACTCCCAGTCACAGGTGTGACCATGTAATTCTCCTGCACACAAAGAATCAATGGCTCTCACTATCTACAGAATAAAGATCAAGCTTCTTAACTTACAATCCAAGGCCCTCCAGAATCTGCTTTCATCCTCTTTTACCTCTCTCATATTCTTCTATTCCCATATAACCATATGTTCCACAAGCACCGAACAATTTTCTGAACACATCTCATCCCTACACTTTGCTCTTATGCTTTTGTTCCCTCAGTTGCCTCCCAGAATGCCACACCCTCCCATTTTCAAACGTCCAATACCTGTGTATTCTTCAAGTCTCACAAAATGCCACTTCCTCCATAATATCCATGTGATTGTCTAAGGAAGAATGACTTCTCCATTAAGAATCTACGAGGTCAAGAGATCGAGACTATCCTGGTCAACATGGTGAAACCCCGTCTCTACTAAAAATACAAAAAATCAGCTGGGCATGGTGGTGCGTGCCTGTAATCCCAGCTACTCGGGAGGCTGAGGCAGGAGAATTGCCTGAACCCAGGAGGCGGAGGTTGCGGTGAGCCGAGATCGCACCACTGCACTCCAGCCTGGGCAGCAAGAGCGAAACTCTGTCTTAAAAAAAAAAAAAAAAAGAATCTGCATACTTAAGATTGTATCTGTACTCCCATCCCATTGTTTATTCTAACAACACGTACGCACGTTTGCTTCTCTGATCAATTTTCTTAGTCACTGTGATACTCTGACTCCTAGCAGTGCCTGCACAGTGGACACTCAAAGATTGGTTGAATGAAACATTGAATTAGCTCAATTGTTTACATCTTTAACTTTGGCTTGGAATCTTCAGGAAAGATTCAATGTAAAAATTTCTTATTCTTATTTGTTTCATTTTATCCCTCACCCTTTTCCAAGAAAACAGGAGATTAAGAAAAGCTTTGGTCCCAGCAAACAATTGTTGTTTTATATCTATGAGTCTTAAAGGCACAGTTTTCATTCCAGGCTTCCTTCCTCCTGATATCTAGAACTTTAAGGCCTATTTTGCTAATAGATGTTCTAAGCTCAGAGGGGAAAATATAATTTTGATATTAACTTGAATAAAAAAGAAACATAACTAAGAAAGGAGTTACTGTTTCAAAATGCAAACTTTTTAAAAAGATATTCCAAATACAAAGACTTTTCTGTTATCTGCTGTTTTGGAATGTTCATGCCACAGTGCCAATTTCAGCATGATACGTTCCTTTCAGTATGGATAAGCGAGAGTTGATGCAATAAAGTTTAGCTTTGACTGCAAACCTTTCTGTTTATTAGTATAACTCTGGTTATATGAATAAGGATGTAGAGGCAGACAGGGCTAAAATCACCCCAGCCAGGATCAGATAATGAGAGAAAAGAATGTTAAGAGTTTTGCTTTCTCCACTGTCTTTGGGCAATGGTCACATCCAGGTGGATAAAAGAGACAGGTAGCCATTACTACAGTTTGAGAGCCAGCTCCTTTCCTGCTTCTTGAAAGCTACCATTGGGACAGCATTCTTCCATCTTTAGAGGTCAAATCCTTTCTACATCACTTTATGACTGAACGACTATGCAAATGTCGGCAATTTCTTCATCACTTAAATGAAGATAATACCTGTTATGACATAATATGATCAGACTCTATAAACTCTAAAGTGCTGTTCAAATATTAGCTACTGATATAAATTCAATCTTGAGTTGTTTTTTTTTTTCTTTACCTAACATAAGAGTTGGCAAGTTTTTTTTGTAAAAGAATGATAGTAGCATTTTAAGATTTGTGGACCATGTGGTCTCTGTTGTAACAACTCCATTCTGCCTCTGTAGTAGAAAAGCATCCAAAGACAATATCTAATAATAGATGGGCTTTGTTCCAATAAAACTAACTTTATAACATGTAGTGGATGAGATTTGGCCCATGGGACACATTTGCAAATCTCTGTCCTACACCTTTGGTGAGAATGAAACACTAGAAGCAGAGGGAAATATCTAAATTCTGGTTTTAGCATGAAGAGTAATGTAGCCGGGTTTTGTGATCAGCTGTCCTGAGGCTTTCAAACATCTTTTTAAGGTACTCTCTTTAAAATTAGAGTTTTAATTTTGTACATTATCACCACCATCTTCATCATCATCAATATCATTCTGCACCTGTCTGAGAAGTATTACCAAGAGAGGCATACAAGAACCCTAGTTTTCTATCCCTATCACTTGACCATACTCCCTTCTGGGAAAGACAGCTCTGATTATTGTTAAAGAAAGTATCAATCATACTTGTGGTGAAAGGTCGCTACATTTTTTTAACAAATTGGTCCTTTGAGCAAGATGAATTTTAATGGATTGGTTTATTAACCTAAAGGTTGAACCAGACCGAGAGTAACTGAATGATTTCCTCATAATTAGTATTATTTATAATTATTTTACTTGGGAAAAAATATCACCTTAAATGTCAGGATGTTTTTTAATTGCTTCAGATGAGATTCAAAATAATTGACTTCACAAATTTATTTTTAAAAACTCATTTAAAAATATCTGAAGCTGCTGACAGTCTGTCTAGAAGAGGCAAGATATTGATATTCATTACTAGGAACAGGGCAGAAATTGATCCACGATTTTTTTAACCACATGAATTGTGTACTGTGGTCATTCCTGGACTCTAAAATAGCTGCAATGCTGATAGAGTGATGCACTTGTTCCTCTTCCTCATTAACTCTGCTATCTAAGTGAAGATGCTGTGTTTGTGGATGTAGGTATATGTTTCTTGCTCAAATACATATTTGCATATATTTTTAATAAAAGGGGAATAGGCACATGCTTGAAAAAAGGGATGTATATATACATATTTGGTATGGTTAGAAAAATACAAACAGCCTATGTATACATTGTGCAACTATTGTGTGATTTAGATAGGATACTAACTTTTTGGCAATGAGTAGGTATATGGCAAATTTAGCATCTCTATAAATATTTGATTTATCAGCTGATTGGTGGAGATGAAAAAAGTAAGAGAATACATTAACATCTCTGGAAAGGCAGCTTTTCAAATAATTTAAATAAGTAAAATATTTTAAATTGTGAAGTATGGGTAAATCATGTAAGAAACATGCAGCAGAATAATGGCAATAAAACCTTATAATTATACTGCACTTGGAGAGTTATGAACTGTTGGTGTGCACAGTATAATCTCATGTGCTCCTGACATCTACATTTGGATGCACGAAGAAAGGATGGTAACAGTCTCATTTGACAGATGAGCAAGAGAAGTCAAGTGATTTTCCCACCATCTACATTGCCTTCCCCATATACCACATTGCCTCTGGAACCCGAGGGAAGGGTGAGTGCATCTACAGGCATCAAAGCCAGCTGCAGTCTTCACAGGCAGACTCAAGCAACCTAACCCCGTGTGCAGAACCCAATTTTCCATCCAAGATGGTTCAATGTGTTAAGTAATAAATGACCCAGAAAACACACACACACACACACACACACACACACACACACACACACATTTCAGGCAGGGAATATAGCAGTGGGATGATTAACTGATTAACAGAGTCTCTTATTTGCTTCTTCCAGGCGTATTTAGTCTGATCATGTGCCTGAGACACAGTGTGACATCTGTTCTTGCAGCAGTGTCCAGGACACAGACAAATCACTCATCCAGGTAGCCAAGCAGACACCATCAATCATTATTTGCATGTTTGAGAAATACAAAAATGTAGCCAAGGTCAGGGAAAATAACATCTGAGGGTGGCTAAAAAGGTAAGAACACAAAGATTCCTATTTGTCTGCCAAAGAGGTTACTCTAACATGTGCTGTGGAAATAGAGTCATATATTTAAATTCCTGTGCAGATAGTAGGTTAAGGCTAATATATCTTTATAAAATATATGTTACACATTATCTTATTCTTCACATATATATGTGTATACATATATATGTGTGTGTGTGAAGCTCAGTAGGCAAACCCCCTGCTGAGAATAGGAAGAATATATTAACTAATTAATATTATTCATGCCATCTTTTATTTAACTAGCAATTGTAATCTATTGAGAGCATTTGTTCACACTATTTTACTTATTCAACCCTCAGAAAAACCCTGTAGGGCTCATAAGTAATATATTATTACCTTCCTTTAATAGACAAAGGAAAAGGAAATGCAGATATTCCTTTCTTAAGCCTATCTCGCCAATAAGTGGAAAAGCCTGGACTAGAATGTGGAATTTCTGACTCCTAATCCATTATCTGGAGCGACTCTGGAAGACCCGAAGGAAGAAAGGGAAAGTGTGAAACATGAGTTCCGAGTGGAGAGGACCTGAAAACACCCTCAGACCAGAATTCCTTCTAGAGTGTGTCAAAGTCCGGAGTAGGTGTGGCTATATGACACACAAACCAAATGATTTGATTGACTTTCTGGCACACCTACTCACTCTGAATTTTCTTGTGCAACTGAGCCTTCAATGTCAATCTCCCATCCTCTCATGCCTTGTGAAGTTTCTGGGGTGGCCGAGTTGGAACCAACTTCAAACCCTCTTATGTCTCTGATTCACTTTCCAAACTCTCCATCTCCCACTCCGTGGTCAGCCTTTTGCATTTTTTTTCTTTTGCACTCCTTTGTGACGCCTCCCTCCTCTCTCCCTCCATCTCCCAACACCTCTGCACTGCCTTTCCCCTTTAATCTCTGCTGACCACCTTCTGTGACTGTTCCATCCACTCCTCCCCCCGTCACGGCTGTCCTCTTGCAGGTACCTACCTGTGTGCTCTGCAGCCACACGCACCTCCTGGTTGCCCCTCAGATGTCTTGGTTCTGTCTGTCCGATGCTGCCAGCCTCCACCCAGGGCCTGTGAGCTGTGCGTGTCTTCAAGCTCTTTGTTACTTTTCCTCCTTAATTTATAATACTAGGCAAATAACAACGGACAATAAAAGATGATATCAGCTGTGCTTCTCGCCTGCAGCCTCCAGAAGTGTCATCTTAGACCCCATCATTGCAACAAAGAAATCTCTCAGTTGAGTGAGTGAAAACCAGTTACAGGACAGGAGGAGAAAACTTCTGCGCTTCCAAAATTCCGCAGCCCCAGCTGCCCTCCGGGGGCTCCCCCTTGTGGGAGATGTGGAGCATGGCAAGGCAGTGCCCAGTTGGGACGGTGCCTGGGTGGGAGGAGGGCGAGAAAAGAGTATTCACACTCAGGGATATGCCCCAGAGGGCATGGGTCCATCTCCAGCCATGAAGAACAGCCTCTGTGTGAGTTGCAGGGTTGAGGTGCTCTGTAATTTATCAGGAAAACACTTTGGGGAGACGGAGTCCTCAGTGCCTGGAGGTGTCTGAGTCCCGGTGAGTGTGGTATGAGCAATAAGCCTGCATGGCTTACACTCTGCGTGGGAACTTGTGTATCACAATGTATCATAAAGTCAGATGTTCACACAAGGTGGTTCTGGGAGACAAGGCGTGGTCTCTATTCTCTGAGTTAAAGACATGATGGTCCAGTCTCCTGGATTCTCCTGCCACTGTGGAAACTTGGCCTTTCAGTGCCTCTAAAGCCCAGGACACATTCTGCTCCCCACCTTAGTGAAAATAGACTGTATGTCCACATAGTATCTTTTTCCAGAGGAACACACTCATTTGCACTAACCCACCCTGGCAGGTGTCATTATCATCCTTCTTCTCCTCGTTTCAGTGTCACACAGCTTCTTTTGCTTACAGTTATTATTGTTGGTTTTTTTGTCTTTATTCCTGTAGCATCTATGCTTCTTACGGTGAAACAGCTCACAAAGTAGCTACAGTTTTTAATAAATGAAGATTTATTGTTATTATTATTTGAGATGCAGTCTCGCACTGTCACCTGGGCTGAAGTGCAGTGGCGCCATCTTGGCTCACTGCAACCTCTGCCTCCTGGGTTCAAGAGATTCTCCTGCCTCAGCCTCCCGAGTAGCCGGGATTATAGGCACCCACCACCATGCCCAGCTAATTTTTTGTATCTTTAGTAGAGACAGGGTTTCACCATGTTGGCCACGCTGTTCTTGAATTTCTGACCTCATGCTCTGCCTGCCTCAGCCTCCCAAAGTGCTGGGATTAACAGATGTAAGCCACCGTGCCCAACCAAAGCTTTATTATTTTAATCCAAGTTCCATCTTCACGTATGTTTCAGTACAGAGCTGCCACCAACATCAGAAAGGTCGTGGAATTTAATAGAGGCCAGTGGAAAATGGTCTGAAATTTGTTTTGCTGAAATCAAGAGCTCCCTTGCCAGAACTGCTGGAAGAGTCGATGAGACAATGTGACGTGGCAAAACCAGCTCCAGGCTTCCACAGATCTAGACTTGACACCTATCTCTACTACTTATTTTATGCTCAATTCACAACTCTCGCCTCAGTTTCTTTATCCACAAGATGGAGTTAAGTTAGTTTCACAATCAAGATCTCACAACTGGTATGGTGGCAAAATGAAATAATATGTCACAAACCACATGCTAACCTACAGTTCAGTGCTAGAGCACAGTTGTCATTCTGGAAGGTTTCCTTGTTTGGATTCCCCTGCCTGCCCTGGTCAACAGAGACCATCCCACCAGGCCTATGGGTGTTTCCTCCACGTTTGACATAATGACCAGTTTTCTCCTGCAGACTCCATCTGGGTCTCTCTGTATCATACCCATTATACAATTCTCACAGCGGGGGAACCAATCAATGCGTCTTAATGGTGTGGCTCATTGCCCTGTACTGAGGATGATCAGTGAGTGTCACTCCCACGTTTCTTCAGAGACAGGACATAGTCTAGACATCCGGGGCAGGAGGAGGTCAGGAAACCTGGGTTCTGATCTTAGCTCCACTTGCTAGTGCACTGGAAATGAAACTGGGTTGCACGACCCTCTGATTCTGTTGCAGCTACTTTATGGGCTCTTTCTTCATAACTAACATCGGCACTGTAGGCATAAAGACAAAAGACAGCCATAACTTTAAGCAAAAGGAACTGTGTGCCACTTAAATAATGATGATGATGATGACGATGACAAAACAGAAAAAGGTATGTCAATTGATGATCTTGCTACGAACCGTGAACTCAGTAAAGATTTATCAGACCTATGTTGGGCCCTGGGCTGAATATGAAAGGGTTAAACTGCCCTTGAGATAATTAAACCCTGTTATAAACTCAAGCCAAGAAAAAAAAAAAAAAAGCAACAAGAATTTAGAGAATTCAAGAAAAGCTGCAAAAACAAAAAGATTCCCTTTCATGCAAATAGATCTAAAACTGAGAACCTTTAGTGACAGGCCCGCTGTGAAAGATGGGATCAAAATCCAGAATTACATCTACAGGAGGAAGTATCAGAGGGTCTGGAGCATGTGAGGGACGGGGGTCATGCGTGGAGAAACAGGAAAATGAGTGGTGACGGAAGGAGAGTCTTGTTCCCCTTTTGGATTGGCCAGAGCATTCCATTCTGCTCTGCACCCCACACCAGGAAAAATGTAGGGCCCAGACAATAGGACAACCAAGATATAGAAGCAACTTGAAACCATGTCATGAGGAATTCGAAGAACTGGAAATATTTAGGCAGATAAAGATATAACTCTGTAATTGCTGCCTTCAAATATTTAAAGAACTCGCAGTTAGAAAAGAGAGGGATTTGCTCTTCTCAGCTTCAGGAAATAGAATGGAACTAACAGACACGTCAAAGGGAAATATTTTTGATCCACTATAAGAAAAATATTCTTGTAGCTTGGTCCAAATTTGGAAAAGTCACTTTGTGTCTGGAGAAGGCTGTGACAGCTCTGTCACTGGACACTCTTTGGTCAAATGGAGGGCCAGGCATGGAGGCTGCCTGCACTGAAATAACCTTTGGGGATCCTTCTAGCTCTTGGACTATTTGAGTCTATGAACAACCTGGGATCCAAAAGGAGAAACTAAACAAAAGAAGCATGTGACATCCTCACACAGAGCATTTTAACTCCTGCTGAGGGATCTCGTGGTCTGACACGTTAGATGATCAGATAAATCCAAAGTATGCTTACAGCCTTTTCCTCTCTTTCCCTTGAACAGCACTATTTCTTTTACTATCACAGGTAAGCCCAAGAGTTAAGCTCCTCCTCCATGGGGTAAATGGCCTTTAGTATAGTGGAAAACACAAAAGAAAAGGCAAAACTCCTACACTCTGATGATCAGTTTAAGGAGAATCGCAGGTTTTAAAAGAGATGTTTAGAAGCCATTTTATCAAATACCTCCCCCGATGTCTGAATTCCATCCATATCTTCCCTGATTGAGTGGTTGTTTGATCTCTATTTGAACTCAACCTCTGAAGTCAATTTGATTGGAGACCATTCTGATGGGGCTCAAGAATAAGCAAAACACACACATAGAAAATACAATCAGCAAGACATGGACGCGAGGGAAAAGACACCTTTAGTATAGTACCAGAATACAAGACAGAACCTAAAGCTCATTAGAATTTCTTAAAGTCAGAATTACGGTAAATTTTAAAAGTCCTATCTTCAGTTTGAGGAGACATACTTGTGACACACAGTACCAGTAAAAAGTATAGGTGACATTGTTGCCTATTCTGCAATCTTTTGCATCTATGTGTGAACCTTACCTTGCAGGCTAGGAAGGTATAAGAATAGGGGCAGGGGAAATAGAAAGGGTGCAGATTGCTAAAAAGGAAGGAAAAAATATGATGGGGCTATTGGCAGGGCTGGTATGTGCAATGTGTTTGGAGTTGCTTTCATGACGTTATCCCTAAGAGAGTTGCAAAAAGGGGTGCAAAGCTGATGAGGGCGTCAGATAAGATAAACAGAACATTTGAGAATTGACCTCTGATTGAGCGATGGGAACACTGAGCTCACAGAGAGGAGAAAAAAGAGTCCAGGGATGAAGAAAAAGGGAGAAAAATTAAAGGCAGGAAGGCGTGAAGGAAGAACTTACATGGGAGGTCTAAGATATCTGGGAGGTTTCCAAGACCATCTTGGGGTATCGAGGGATGATGAGAGGCAGGAATAAGGGTAAACACTGAGGAGGAAGAAGGAGGCCAGGCATGGAAAGATATTTTGAGTAGAAAGAAACAGAAAGAAAGCTAGACCCATCATAAGACTTGGTGTCTCCATTTCCTGACTAGCTCACTTCTCAGGGGACAGCAGCAAAGGGCACCTTCCTGGCTACAAAAGATTTTTAGTTCATGAGAAACATCTGAATCGATTAAGTGTTGACTAGACACCTCCTATATGTTCAAGATACAGGAGAGATACAGAAATGAAGTTCCACAGTAATCTGGATTACTGTTAGTCAACTAGCAATCATTTGCTCGGTAACTACTCTTGGCCAAAAACCATGGTAAGCATCAGAACACAACTGGAATGACTAGGCTGATCCTCCCAGGGGTCACAGAGTAACGAGTGAAGGGGAGAAACACAGCCAAGTGTAAAACTCCTGCAAAGGATTATAGGGTGCTGTGAAGGAAAACAACAGAATATCCAAAGAATCATTCCTAGATTTTATGTTTTTAACAGAAAAAACATGTCAGACGCCACAAAGAATCAGAGCAGTCAGTCTATAGGAAGTGTCATCCTGGCCTGGGAATGTCAGAGAGAATATTCTTAGTCCCCAGTGTCCAGATAAGGGTAGTAGAGGCTGAGCCCAGAAAAGGACCACTGAGGAACTGGCCAGGAGCCACACTGGGTGCTGCGCTCCTCAGAGCAATAAGGAGGCTCAGAATGGAAGGAGGAAGCCTCCCACTCCAGATCCTTCTCTGCCAGACCCCACTCACCCTGCCAGGTGACAGTTCAGTGGATGTGACTTCCACCCGTGGCTAAGCAAGGAAACAGTCTCTTTGGAGCCTCTCCAGCATCGCCGCTCTCCTGTCCCCCTTGCTGTTCTACTCAGGCTCGTAGATGAGCCCAGCTCCTCTCCTCCATTCTA